ATACACACACACACACACACACACACACATATATATATATTCATATTTTAAAATTTGACAAACCCTTCGTGATGTCACCTACTGGTTTTCTGAAGAGCAGTTTTGAAGCTCAAACCTAGCTGTCACCATACTGGTAGTGCTTCACGCTGTCTAACTCCAGATAATTAAATGGGCCAAGAGGTAGAGCCTGAGTGGAGCTCAGGGGACAGCTAGCAGCTAGTCTCCTGTGGCGGGACCCTCCCCCCTGTCACTCCAAGGGGCCAAACCCCTTTTTTTGTGCAAACTTTTTGGCTCAATATAATTTAAACTGGTGAGTTATTTAAAAAAAAAAAAGACCTCCCATACAGTTGTCATGGAAGAGGAAATCAGCTATATAGACCAAAAAGGTTTTTGTACCAGGCTGTAAACATGTTTATTTCTGCTGTAAACCTGGGCATTTTGACATGGGAGTCTATGGAGACTGACTCCCATTTGGAACCAGCCTCAAGTGGCCATTTGAGGAACTGCAGCTTTTAACACTTCCACCCACATTTTCTATACAATCCCATTTTAAGCAAAATAACAAGAAAACAATAATAAATGAGGTGCACTGGCTTCTGAGCAGCTCCTCTGTGTGGAGCAATAATGCAGCAGAAGTTACAACCTGAAGGAATAAATTAGTTTTAACTCAAAATTCAATGTAAAACAACATTGCTAAATACATTTTGATGATGACACATTGTTCATTTTCATTTCATTTCTTCAAATCAGATCCTTCTCTCTGCTGATGCAAAAATCCTTTCATACCAGAAACTACAGAGGACATGAACTTTCTGAAATGCCTCGCTGCTTAATGTGCTTTGACCGCACCCCTACTGTATAGTAGAAGCACTCAACACAGCATAAAATTAGGCTGGTTTGATTTGCTCACTACTAAAAAGGGAATGAATCTGCATCACCAGCTATCTCAATTAATATTTGGATGGAGAACCACTAAATTGGATGCCATACATCTCTGTTAGTGGCTGCTTAGCTTTCAAATTGCTGCACAAATAACTGTGGGTTGTGAGATGGCATGTGACAGTCGTGGGTCAGAGATCATCCGTATAGCTACATCTGATTACATCTGATTACGTTTCATACATCAAATCTTTTCTTCCTTCAGTGAATTAAAACATCAGTGCGTTTTTAGACAGTGTCACAAGGGTTAATGATTAATGAGACCTTCTCTCTTTCACACACACACACACATCATAAATCAAACTAGTTGTGATGCAGACCCAGATACACAATGTCTGGTTTAGCAAGTGTCGAAATCTCACACTTTTCTTGCTGAGAGTTTAGCATTTAAAGAGGAGCAACCGCAGTTTGTGTCTCTCTACATCAAAGCAATTTGCTCTGCAACAAATTGCAGGACATTTTTGGAAATTCTATGTCACCCACTCACTAACCTTACCCTCTTTTTTAATTTCCTGGATACAACATTATGTAGATATGTTAATGCTTTTCTTACACACAAACTCACACTCCATACAGCTCTCCTTTCTTATCCTCATGGGTCTGTGTCCACCTCAATTTCCTCCTAATTTCCTCTCAGTTTTCCTCTCTGTTCTGCCACCATCCCTCCCCCCTCCTCCCTCTGATGGCCCATGAGCCCTAAGGTTTGGAGGTCCGGATAACCAGCTATGTCTAATGGCACACAATGCACTCACACTGCAGGGCGGGCAACTTCAAAAGAAAAGCACCAGCACCCAAGAGGTATGCAAATACATATACACTCGCACACACTGCCTCCTTTTCATTCTCACACACAACAGCAAGCCTCAGTATCATACTCTCTTGTGCTTTTTTCACATGCATATGCACACGCAGTCTGTGAAAAATTCAGTTAACAAGTGCTTTGATTTCCATTGTCTCCTCTGTTTCCCCCTTTTTGGATTTTTCTTTGTTTTCCCATTTGCCGTGCTTATTTATATGTTCTTTATCCGGATCTCCCCTTTCAGCCAAACTAGTTTCAGAGCGTTGCCACTGCTGAATCAAACAGCCCAGTCACTCTTCAGAGGGGCTCTACTTGAATGATGCAATCGAGGCACAATCAAACGGCATCTTTGTTGCCCACGCTGAGCTGAAGTGGGGAGTCTCGGGAGGTCTGACCTCAAACTTGTGACTTTGTGCCATTTGTCAAAAGTCTGGCTATGCAAGACTATAAAGTGGATGACTCAGGACCCATAGCATGTGTTTTGGTGTGTGTGTGTGTGTGTGTGTGAGTGAGAGAGAAAGAGAGAGACAATGTGACAGAGACACACCAAAGCATTTCCATGCTTTTGCATAAGCCGTTATTGTAGTGATACAGAAAAAGCTAGCAAGCGTAGACACCAGCTCCATCCCCAATGTCAAGGTGAAAGTGTGGCTCTGGCACCCACAGTGCCTCATTTCTTAGCTTTCTCTCTGTCGTCTGAGCCACTGCTTTTGGATCCTTGATTTCACTGTGTCCATCTAGTTCGAGGCCCCAAGTGGATGCAGTTAACTACAGGACTTTTTTTTTAAATATCTTGACACATTGTAACATATAGTATCTACTATGTATCTACTATTGTTGGTTATTTCTGCTGGCTACTTCATTTACTGTACATTGTCAAGTCTTTGAACAAATTCTACAACTATTAAAATGCCTCCAAGAGGGAAAAGAGCTAATAAACCAGAAGCGAGCGAGGATGTTGAGGCTGAAGAAGATTCTATTGCAGCGGCGCAAGTAGCTGAGATGTTGAATCAGCAGAAGCTGATGTACACCGCGCTTATGTGCCAACAGCAAGAAAGCTTCCAAGGCTTTGCGAAACTAATGATGGAGACAAATAACAAGAGACTCGACGACATGACCAAAGAAATACAAGAGATAAAAACGAGTTTGCAAGTGATTTGTTACAGAAGTTAATAGTTTTTGAGGGACTGGATCTGGAACTGAACACAATTGGAGACACTGAAATTCATTATCATGAACCGGACGATGGCTTTGACCCTGAAAAAAACTTTTTCAAGAACTTTGAAAATAACTGCAAGTATTACACGGATGAGCAG